CTCTCTCTCTGTGTGTGTGTGTGTGTGTGGTTCTGAAATGTGTGTGGGCCTTCGGATCTTGGGAATTTCTCAGGATGTTTTTGTGAGTCACGTGACTCTGACGGGATTAATGCAACAGCGAGTTTTCTCCATCCGAGGACACATTTCACATCCATGGCTTGGCCCTCGAGGACTTCTGCACGAGGTCCCTGGAATTGTTCATCCTAGGTGGATGGATGAAGCAATGATGAGGAATTACAGATACGATCAGCGCGATGAATTTTTCTCTTCTTTTTGCCAGTGTTCACTCTTTTCAGATCCATTCCGGAATTTCTGGGAGCTAGAAATGTTAGTTGCCTGGGCTGTGCCGTCTTGTGGGGGGGAGCAAAGCACAGCCTTAAAAGAGGAGCCACATGGTCAGACGAGCAGAGACTTGAGAGAGAGGTGTCTTTAGGAGAGTCGGTTGGGTGCCCAGAATCAGACCCAACCTCCTGATATCGTTTGCTGTGCTTAGGGTAGGCTTGTTCATAGGGTAGTAGAGGCTAGACACCCCTTTGTGTTATTCTGTGGTGTCTCTTGGAGAGCCCGATCTTGACCCATGCTTTCTGTCTTTTGGGTTTAGACCCCCCGACCAGACCCCCCCCCCCCCCCCCCCCCCCCCCGGCCCCCTTTCAACTATTCTGTGGTGTCCTTAGCCGAGGCTTGTTCTTGGAATCCGACCCTACTTTTCTGCTGTCCTGTTCTGTCTTTAGGGGAGGCTTTTTTTTGAGGGTGGAGGTAACCGCCCCACGGGCCTACAACAATGGTGGACTAAGCAGAGTGGAAGGAGAGGAGACGTGATGATTGTTGAATTAGGTAGGGGTAGGAGGTAAGAGTATTAGCAGCTAGGACTAGGAGAGGCTGATTTTGACCCCCACTTTGTCGTTTTCGGGTTCTGAGCCCTCCCCTTTGAACTTAATTTGTGGTGTCGTTGGGAAGACGATTGTTCCCGGTGTCTGTCTGGGGTGTCCCGATGAGAGGCTTGTCTGGACCTGACCTTTGTGTTTCGAGGGCTTACCGCCCCGCCCTTCCATTATTTCGTGGTGGGTTTATGTGAGGCTTACTCCCAGAGTCAAGTTCCTGTGGCTTTCTTGGGGGGGGGGGGGGGGGGGGGGGGGGGGGGGGCGGCGGCGCTTGCTTTTTAGGGACGGACACCCCTTTGTGCTATTCGTTTTCGTTTTGTGTCTCTACGAGAGGCTCGTCTTGACCTTAATTTTTGACCTGTCTTTGGGAGAGGATTGATTGCAGTGTCAGAGGCCAGTATCGTCTTTTTTGTTTTGTTTTGTTTTGTTTTGTTTTTTATTAGAAGGGCCCAGTGCCCAAGGCAAATTACATCAACACAGTAACCAACAACAAGGACAGCCTGGGTGTCACGCCCCACCGAAAGCTCGGACCCCGTCCCTTTTTTTTTTTTTTTTTTTGAATCCTGGAGTATCTTCCAATGGTGGTGCGTGAAAAAGCTCTGGGGCATATTTACACACAAAGACTTCCTGGAAATATATCTGACGGGAAAATAGGGGCCACATCCTGGATGTTCCTGACCGCAATTTCTGAACATCTTTCAAAACGAAGACCGAGTTTGAGCATGCTCGTTAGACTATGCTAATAATAGTTTGCCGCATCTATTGCAGTGAGCGTGACCGTCCGCTAGGAGGATTTCTGGTGGCCCTTTTTTTCTCCAGTGCTATGGCTTATTGTCTGGTAGCCACAATGTTGCTCCCCACAAATATAGATTAGAGCATCGTCCGTTTCAACCAAAAAAAAAAAAAAAAAAAAAAAAAAAAAAAAAAAAAAAAAAAAAAAAAAAAAAAAAAAAAAAAAAAAAAAAAAAAAAAAAAAGAAAAAGAAACAGCTTGCTGATGGGAAACTTGTGTGTTTAGTGAGGAAGCACTCACCTGGGGGGAGGTCCCACTACCACCATCTTCACCGGAATATAACGCCCAGCCATTACCGCCGTATTTGGTGCAACTTTCAGCCTACATACAGCGATAATAACCAGGAGTTCTATTCAGGTGAAGACGGTAGCAAGGAGGATTATCATTGCGAGAAAAAGTAAGTTAAACCGGAGTCTGACTGATGTTCATAACACCATTAGATGGGGGGAGAATAGAACACACGTAGGCTCAGCCACGGAGCAGGGACCAATAGTCAACGAGGATTGGATGGAACACCTGAATCTGGACGTGTTTTTGGAGACATCCAGAAAACTGGGTTCGGTCTGCTTTTCTGCATCCTAGATGAAACATATCCAGATGAGAGGAAGACAGAGAGGTGCGCGTGCACGAGAGAGAGAGAGAGAGAGAGAGAGAGAGAGAGAGAGAGAGAGAGAGAGAGAGAGAGGTCCCCGTCAGTCTCGGGTATGATCATAGTTTGGCCTGGGTATGACCATAATCCTAGCGTTCAGGTAGTCGGTTACAGCCGCAGTTTGGTGGGTCCACCTCAGTCTTGGGTATGCAAATAAGTTGCACAGGGTATACATGCAAGTTTGCGCTGGGACTGGGCACAGGTGCAAGTTTGCACTGGGACGGGATATAGGTGCAAGTTTGCACTGGGACAAGGTACAGATGCAATTTTCCCCAAAAAAAGTGGCAATGGCTGGCCCCAGGGCCGATTCAGAATGATTTTGTTTCCGCCATCTGGTTGAGTTTGGATTCGAACCTGGGTGTCTGTATTTCAGCAGGTCATGGGGGTACCAACTGAGCTTGGCCTGTTGGTTGGGTTGTATTTATGTTCCAGTGGGGACCATAAAATTTCCAGCACAAGGGCATACTCACACTAGGACGTTTTCTGTTCCGCGCTGGACGTGGTTGCCGTTGGAAATCACGAAAAAAAAAAAAAAGGGGGAGCATAAATCATTGAGATCCAAGTTTTTGTTATTTCTACTAATTTTCTAGCGCGTTCTTAGCATCATATCTGTTCACCTCTTTTTGAGTAAGTGGTCAGTAGGGAAGGCAGGAAAAAAGAAAAGAAAAGAAAAAAAGGGTCAAGCGACTCCTCCTGGTTGTCTCGTACGGGTGTTGGGTTACGAAGCGCATCACCTACAAGCAAGTGCAATCTAAGCGCACAGTCGCTGCATACTTGAACTTGGGATTCTTAGGACTGTCCTCTGGATGCAATTACGGGCAGGTGCATCTAGGTCTGGCTGTAGTTACAGCCAGATATATTAAACCACCAGTGCACAGCCCCAGGCTTGCTGAAATAAGACTCGCCACCCAGCCGGAAAAGTGAGTTGATGCGGGGCTGGGATTGATAAATTCAATCAGCCGCCTGGATCGCATCTCGGCCTGTGAAGGTTGCCCATGAGAGGCCTTTGTCGCGCTTTGGCCGCTGAAAGCACACCATACATTTTGCCCACGGCCGAGGTATAGTGTGTACCGGTGGTTCAAGAAAATTGCCAGAGTTCCTATGCCCTATGAGTGCCTTGGGTTATGTGCCTCTTCTTTTTTTTTTTTTTTTTTTTTTTTTTTTT